ATTCACCAAATGTGGGATTTAATAAACTCTCACCATTGTTAAAGTCTCCAAGCAATTTAACAATCTAATTGAGTTGAATTTTATCACAAGTTCAGGCCAATCTCAATTAGTCAACTCACCTTAAGATGGCTTGGTAAGTATTTACGCTGTTGAATGATCTTTTTTTTAAATTTATATTATCCTGTGCGTTAAGTTAAAGTAATATACTCATATTGTAACGACTACATCTGAAATTTAATAAAAATTGTGACATTCCACAAAAATAGTTTCAAAATTTTGTATTAAATATAAATCTTGTTTGATTGATCTCCTTTACAAACATATATTGGATAAATTACATTAACATCCCTGAGGTTTCTCCATAGTATATTGGTTGGTCTTTTTGGTTGAGTTCATAGTGTTATTTCTTATACATCTTATTGTAAGTGTTAAAATGTAGTGATCAGACCTAATTTCATTTTGATATTCAAGATTGGACTTAAATGTACTTCCATTATAGATGGCAACTTGATTTCAAACCAGTCTTACTTTGTTCAAATTGTTTATGTCAATAGTCCACATTTTACTCCTTGCTAAGATAAGTCAACATGGAACTAATCAAAGACCAGCCCAAATTAGATTTTTTTCACCCATATGAGTATGCAAATTCAAAATAGCAATCATCACAAAAGTAGATTAATAGTACTGTTTAATTTGCATTGCTTGGGATCTAATAATTGCAACATACTATGAAACTTTATTTATTTATTATTATTATTATTAATGTATTGGTTTCAAACACACAGTTTTATGAAGTAATCATGTCGCACACACTGATTCATCCATATCGTGATTGCACATCCATACACAATGTTTAAGAATAGGCTCACAAATTAGTTGAGTTGAATTGAATAATAAGACAATTTTATGAGTTTTAAAAATTGTTTAAATTTGAGTTATTTTATGTAACAAACTGATTTTAAATAGTTTGGTTTATTTTACAATCGTAATTGAGAGACACTTATGTGTTTATGGAGCAAAATGCACAAGCTCATTCTTTATGTATAACATATATAAATATGGGAACATCATCTTCTACATTTTCAAATATGTATGTTCCATTTTTTCATGTATTTGCAATCACATGATTTGATTATTAATTTATTTATTTTTTAAATGTAATTGTGAGTTATGAGACGAAGTGACATGCATAGAGTTGTAATCACGTCCAGTTAAACCGAATATACGATTGGTTAAAAATTTGACTTGCTTACTTTTTATGTCCATCTCAAACAAGTTTGATCACAAGTCAAGTTATTTAAATTAGATTTGTTTACATAATAAGACAATTTCAAACATATTTTTAACGAGTTAAACACAATTTAAACTTGAGTAACTTGAATCTTTTACAACCCCAAACCTGCAATATTTCTTTATTTATTTGAGAGTGATGATCCCAACCCGAGAATATGAGCCTTTCGTTAGCCGATGTGGGAAGAGCGCTTTGATCATGAATCATACCTACAAGCCCATATTGGAAGGACGGACATTAGACTTTATTTTTGGATTGTAATTTGCGAGGGAGATGTACTGGGCTTGTTTGTAGGCCCATAATCAAGTGAATCATAATTGCTTCTGATGGGCTGCTAGGCATTGTGCAGTTGATTGGCCTTTGGAGGTATTGGATGAAGTTATAGGAAAAGCTTTAGGTTGGAAAGTGGGTAAGACTGCAAATGAACTGAATTGTTTATGAATAAGTTTGGCTCAATTCGTTAAGGGTTCAGTTTGACTTTCGTTTAGTAAATGAGTCGAGTTTGATCTCGAATATTAGGCTCGTTTACTCGAGTTTGCATAAACTCGGCTCATTTATTTTCATTTAAATAATACAATAAATATATTATTTATATATTAAATAATATAATAATATATATACATAATAGTATAAATACATTATTTATATATTAAATAATATTTTTTATTTAAATAATATAAATAATATTAAAAAAATTATCAAACTGAGTCAAGCCGAGTTCGAGTTTCATTAATATTAATGAGTTGAGCCAAGCTCGAGCCCAGTTCTTTATTGAGCCGAACTCGAGCTGAAAAAACAAGCTCGATAAGTAAACGAATCGAGCTCAAGTCAACAAAGCTTGGCTCGGCTCGGTTCATTTACAACCCTAGAAGTGGGTTGATTTTTTGACTATTTTAGTCTGGGGCTAAAAAGTTTTGTTTAGATTGGGTTTTTTCGATTTTTTAAACTTTTGTGAGAGAAAAAATAAAATAATTATGATTTGGATATAATATTTTGTTTTATTGACTTTTTAGTTTATTTTATCTTTTTGTGACTATTTTAGCCTAATAATCCCCTACCAAACTAGTGCTCCGTATAAAATGTGCAATATTTAAAAATAAAAAAAATTAATGTGTGCCCACATTAAGGGTCCGTTTGGCAAGAGCTAAACGAGACTTTTTTGGCTATTTTCACAAAAGGCAAAAGGTTATTTTAACCACAAAAAACAAAATATCACATCAAACTCATAATTATTACATTCTCCTCTCACAAAAAAAGCCAAAAAGCCATTCCCAAACCAAACTTTTTAGCCCAGGCTAAAATAATCAAAAAAGTCAAAAAGCTAAAAAGTCAACCCACTTCCCAAACGGAGGCTTAATAATATTTATGTGTTAATGAAATTCAAACATTTTGTTTCTTTAGGAATCATCAATAGAATGTGAATGTGGGTTTCATTCCATTTGGTCATATGCATGTATTTTTAATTCTCTTTCTTATTAATTTCACTTTATTTTGTTCTTGTATATCATATGTTTAATGGCTCAAATGTGTACTAGGCCTCTTTTGAGAAGTGAGTTGAAAGTCACTTTTTAACTTTTAATTTATTTTTGGTCATATTATTTCTCATATTTTTTACACGTTTTTTTAAAAAAAGTTAAAAAATAAATTTTTAACCATATTTCAAAAACATCTCTTAATATAGTCTTTTGTTTTTATTCTTTAAAGATATGATAGTTCTTCAAATTTATTCCAGCATAACAACCACATTATTATACTATCTCTCTATTTTTTCCCCTTACTTTTCAACTCCACTATTATAACTCTTAAGAGCATCCGTAGCAGCTCCCTTATAATAGCAAGGGGTTAATTCTTCAGAAATCCTTCCTAAGCAGATCCCTTGTCCAACCTCCCAAATATAAGTGTTACTACAGTGACTCCTTATTTGTAGGGAGTTACTGTAACTCCCTCATGTCTGATAAATTCTTATTTATTTCGTTGAAGGGGCGAAGGGGAAACACAGTAGCATAAGAACAACAAGGGGCCGAATGTCCAGACGGACGACCTGCCAGACGTTCGAAAGGATGACCGGTCGGCGATGATTTGGCAAGTTTTTAGTTTGTTTATTTTACCTGATGAAGAAGATATCAAAGTCCAAATCTAAGGAACATTTGGAGAAAAAATGGGTATGTATATGTATTTGAGAGGGATTTGTTGTAAGAATTATGGATGGGGTCTCTCTTACTTGAAAATCTGGTGTGATCCTATCATCGCCATCTCTCTCTCTCTCTCTCTCTCTTTGGATTGCCTCTCGTCCAACGGTATTCTCTTTCAAGAAACATATTCTCAGCTTTAGCTTTAAGCACAATAATTATTTTATTATTAAAAAAATATTTAAATTTAAAAATAATTTAAAAGATTATTTTAATAAAATAGAGAAAGAATAGGGAGTTTGTTAAGAAAAGTAAACGAAAAAATGAATCCTAAAATAGACAATAAATTTTTTAATAGTATTTTAAGATAAAATTAAAGTAAACTGATAAAGATACTCTAACATAACTCTCCAAATAATAATAATAATAATACTAATAATAATAATAATAATAATAATGAGGACAACTCCTGCCGACCTCTTAATCAACAATAGAAATCTTTAGCACAAGCCTTATTAAAAGTTCAAATAAAAGTATATTAGGTGCTCAAATTCAATCATATTTTTAATAAGTAATATATTTTATTATGAGTCACCTTAAAGATAGTCTATTTAACAAACAGTTAATTAAAAAATGTCAAAACAAAAATAAATAAACGTACAATGTAAGCATTACACATTTTAAAAAAAAAAAAAAAATCATTTTTTTTAAAAAAAAAAAAAAAATCATATTTTTATAAAAATCACTTTTTAAGAACAACAGTTAATATTTTTCTTTTATTGTTATTATTATCATCTTATTTTTTGGTATTTTTTTAGTTGTCTAAAAGGAAAGCTGAGTATAATAAATGTTATGTTTTGCCGTTTGTTTTCAGAGATAGAATGGAGAGAATTGATAGTGAGGGGATTAATAGTGAGAGGATTAAATAAAATTGTGTTTGTTTTTATGATAGTTGTTAATGTAGGGATTGTCAAATTATTTTTATATAAAATAAATACAAAATAATAAAAAAAAATATAAAAAAGACAAAAAAATTAAACATTGATGTTTTAAAAAATACCCATCATGTAAAAAAATTTAAAAAAATAAAAATAAAAATAAAAATAAAAAATTCCAAGAAAAAATAAAACAAATAAAATAATGATTTTTACTTAACAAAAAATATAAAAAATTAAACATTAGTGTTAAAAAAAAAATGCCCGACATGTAAAAAATAAAATAAAAATAAAAAATTTATAGTTCGCCGGATTATTTTTCTAATACCAAGTCTTGGAGCCCTTGGGGAGGCCTATCCTAATCCGGAGCTCACTATTAATGCCCTTCCCATCTCTCAAAATAAATACAATATTAGTGAGTCACACCTCACTACCAATCTCAATCCTTCCTCTAACTCTCTAAACAAACGGGGTCTTAAGGCAATCATGCTTCATTGTTGGGAATATGTTATTTTAATTTAAAAATAAAAAATATAAATTATTACAATATTTTTTTATAAAAAAAATAAATAATTAAAATAATTAATTCCTAAACCACCCCTAAGTGGTTGATTATTATTATTATTATTTGAAGACCCTGCCTTTTCAGGTTGACGAAAATCAGTAGGAGGAGTATCAAATTTGAAGATGAACAAGAGACTCTGCTTTTTCATGCATCAATCAAAACACTAATCCCACTCCAATCCAACTCATCCTTTTCGATTCTAGGGCAAATACTCTTTGATAAAAACCTCTCTCCAAGTCTCACCTTCCTTTAATTCACCATCGAAACTAGATTCTCAGAGCTCACGAGTCTCACAAATTCGAATTTTAGGGCGTAATCGTACAACACAGAGATGTTCTTCAGCGGCGATTCGTCGACTCGGAAGCGAGTCGATTTGGGAGGCCGAAGTTCCAAGGAAAGAGACCGCCAGAAGCTTCTGGAGCAGACCAGGTTGGAGCGGAACCGCCGGCTGTGGTTGCGCCAGCAAAACTCCGCCGCAATCAAAATCCAGGTTCGTATACATCTGTTTTGATGAATTATATACATTTGAACTCGCTCTCATTGATTGGATTGAAATTGCTTGATATTTATGTAATTGAAATCGGTGCTATACATATATATATATATATTTTTTAATGCTTAATTTGCGATGAAATAGGGAGTTTTCCTTTTGTTGTAATCAAAATTCATGAATTATACATCTGTAGTTACTCACATTGATTAGATGTAATTGAAATTGGTCTAATTTGGGGCGAATGGTGTTATTGGTGTTTAAGTGGAATGTAGTGTCATGGGTTTGAGATTTTTAATTATGTTGGGAATGTGATATATCTTACCTTGTGTTCTAGAGGAAGGAAATGTTAAGTGGATTATTGCATGGATTTAATTGTTGGAGATGCAATTCGATGAATGGCATGAATAGCTGTTTGTTTCCTGTCCACGACGTTTATATTTCATTTGAATTAATGTTCTGTTTGTACAATGGATTTGTTAAAGTAAAAAGTATTTGAGAACTGGTGCTTATATTAAAGATGGCTTTTTTGACCATATCTCTACACTATAATTTGTAAACACTTCTAATAATTTGTAAACACTTCTGTGTATGATATAAATTATATTTAAAGCTACAAATCTAGGTCCTCAGGACACATTGCAGTGATCAACTTACCACCCTTATTTGGTATGGGATGTTGTGAAATGCCAAAAATCTGTTAGTGATGAGGAGTATCCAATATGCGACTTAACTCAACTCAACAAGTCTTTGTTTCAATGCCTCATCCCTAAATTCCTAGGCTCAAGGTGAAAGCACTGTGTGCGCTATTCTTGGTTGGCATAGCTCGATCCAGGAGAGGAGCACAAAAGTTGCATGGTTAGCCCTCATGTAAAATTACGAAGCTAACACATGGTGCCAGACCCATGGGAGATGATGACGTGGTGATGTCATGTAGGAGATCCAATTCTATATAGCCACAATATGATTGCTAGCTGCATGCCCTAACTGGCTAATGGCAGCGCACATGTATAATACTAGCGTGTGAAGTTTAATTACCATCTATGTTACATGAATTTGAGTATGGGTGTAGGGTATCTGTCAGTGTCAAATTCATCATTCAATAAATTATCATGTCAAGAACATGAAGGCATGGCTAGATTTCAAATTTAAATATTTTCAATTTAAATCATACTAGGCAAAAGAAAAATAAGTATTTGCTCAAGAGAATTCATGTAGCAGATAGACTCAGACTCTGTATGATTTTGTGTGTTGGTTGAAGTCACTGCATTGCTGCAGCTTTAAGTTCTGCCTAGCCGTGTTGTGGTGCATTTTGTGGTTTTGGGAATTACTATTTTTCTTAACCACGGCCTTTTTCCTTTTTTATTTATTTTTAGATTTTTGTTGGGATGAATGGCGACCATTATGACATGCTAGTTGGATTATGTGTTTGTAGACAGTACATCTTTCTCTTGTATTTCAAAATCAAAATCAAACCAAGCCTTGTGCTCAATCAATTGGGGTACATCTTTCTCTTATATTTAATTTGCAAAATTCATCCATTGCACTCTAAGGCCAAAGTATCATTTATTTATCTATTTTGAAATTGTTTTTGTTGTGGTGTCAAGAACAGGTATTTGCTCAATTGCTATGAAGTAATCTGTTTAGTTCTTTTCTTTTGACTTAAAATATGAGCTTTTACATTTGTTGGTCTTTAGAGAAGTATTCTAGAAACTTTTTTTTTTTGATCCTCGTGAAGTTTGGCACTTGACTAATTACTAGTTACAGAAATGCTTCAGAGGAAGAAAGGTGGTAGAAGCTGAACATTTGAAGGTGAGAGAGCAGTTCTTTATGACTTATGGGAAGCACTGCCAAAATGTGGACAGGTAGCACCCTTGGATCTTCATTCTCAAGTTAATACACTTATGGTATTTTTCTATATTTTTGTTCTCATTGTAATTGTGGTTTCTATTGATCTCCTATGGTAACTTGATTTGGTAATGTGCCTGTTCCAAATTGGATATCCATTATTGTTTTGCATTCAATTTGACCTTATATTTTTGTTCAATGTCTCTGTACATCCAGGCACCGCTTTGGGCCTGATTCGGTTTTTCTCCGCCAGTTGCTTTTCTTCTTTAATCCACAAAATGTTGCTGATTTCTCTGCTCTTGTGGAGACATGCCGATTACTTCAACAGTTTGTTCAAGAAAGTGGTGCGCCTAATCAGTCTTCCTTCTTAATGAAACCACTTATTAATGTTATTTGATGTTAGTAAATGCATGCAACTTTCATAATGGCCCTCCTCAACATGCTTAATGAGGCCTAAGTTGTCATTTTTCTTAGTATAGGGAGGGGCCCCCTGCTCTCCCCTGCAAATACCCCCAAACCAAAAACCCCCAAATACACACACACATGCCTCCCCCTCTTTTTTCTCCATCATATACTGAATTTGCCTTAACAATATGAGTTATATATTTTATTGGATCTTCTTTTCTTTTTCAGTTGGATTAAAGTCTGAATTTTACAGGCAATTGCTGGATCAAAAACGTTCTGAACCTCCATGCTTCTTTTATCTATAAACACTTGTACTGCCTGAAGTTTAACAGAAACCATTAGAAGTACTCATGTCATATTAATTGAATGAATTCAAGTTTTTGTACCATACACACAGACAATCTATTGCAGTAATCTGAATGACGTCAATGAATGTTAATGGGAGTCACCATTTTTTTTTCCTCTTAAATGTATTCAAAATGTATTTTGTATGCTTATTTATGGTTGAGGGATTTGGTGAGAAAAGAAAAGAAAAGAAATCGAGAGAAAGCGATCTCCTATTACTTGTTTGGATAATAAAGGAGATAAGAGATTTTTAAGGAGTCTAAAGTGTAGGATGGGGTGGTGGATAGAGTTCAGCGACGGCTGGTAGGGTGGAAGCGCCAATATTTGTCAAAAGGAGGGCAGATTACTTTGATTAAGAGCGTTCTCTCCAGTATTCCGACGTACTTTATGTCTGTGCATGTGATCCCTGTGGGGGTGGCTAAGAGGTTGGAGAAGTTGCAACGGGATTTTTTGTGGAGTGGGGGTGGGGAGGGTTTTCATTATCATTTAGTGGCTTGGGAGAGGGGTGTGTAATTTGAAAGAGAGGGCGGGTTTGGGCGTGTGGAAATTGGTGGCTTTTAATCGAGCTTTATTGGGCAAGTGGTTGTGGCGCTTTGTGGGGGAACGGGAGAGGTTATGGAGGAGGGTGGTGGTGGCTAAGTATGGAGAGGCCCAAGGGGGTTGGTGCTTGAAGAGGGTGGGTGATTCAATCTCATGATCGTGGGTTGTGGAAGGCAAGGTTGTTAAAATCGGATCTTACGTTGGATCGTTGGAGGTGTTTATAGGATCGGATCGTAGAATCGGATCGAGGATCGTAAGATCCTACCGAAAAAGACAAATTACATAATAATTTAATTTAAATAAATATTTCTTATAAAGTATACACAAAATGAGCCTATATTTTATTAAAAAGAAGTGAAAATATTGTGAAAAATATAATACTCCATGTAAAATGTACATATAATAATATACAATAGAAAACTCGATGGTAAAAGTTTTGTATTTTAGCAAAAAAGAAGGTGAAGAAGAAGAAGAAGAATTCTATAACAAAATAATTCACAATCTACAAAATGCATAAAAAGTGAAGAAAAAATATTTAATAAAGTTGGATATGAAAATAGATTAAGAACTCAAAAGAGTAGCTTAACCGAATGATAAGATTTGTCGTTAGCATCCCTGGTGGAGCGGATTCAAGTCACAAAAATAATCTCTCCAAAAATTGGGATAAAGTTGCAATCATCTTACCCTCGTTAGACTCCGCTAAAGCTAAGTTTGTTTTTCCGACTATTTAATTTTCTTAAATTACCGTAATATTTGAATGTTTGTTTCCTAATTTGTTTTTTTTAGTCTGTTTGATTCAATACGACTTAATTTTTATCATTTATTTTGACCACATAAATTGGTATTTAGACAACAAACATAAAATTTACAATAAAATATGTCATACAATACAAAATAAGGCTTGTAAATAAGATCGGATTCGGATTGGGATTCCATGATCCTATAAGATCCCACTACCAGGATCGAAAGATCCTACCTATAAGGAGATTTTTACACGATCCGGATCGATTGTACTTAAATGGATCGTAAGATCGTAGGATCGTAAGATCCCAATAAAATATGTCATACAATACAAAATAAGGCTTGTAAATAGGATCGGATTCGGATTGAGATTCCATGATCCTATAAGATCCCACTACCAGGATCGAAAGATCCTACCTATAAGGAGATTTTTACACGATCCGGATCGATTGTACTTAAATGGATCGTAAGATCGTAGGATCGTAAGATCCGGATCGGGATTCTGATAACCATGGTGGAAGGGGATTTGGTTGGAAAGGAAGGTGTTTGGAAGAGGGTTCGGTTCCAAGTGGGGGTTGGTGATCGAGTTCGCTTTTGGCAAGATCGGTGGTGTGGTGATTTGTCTTTGGCGGTCAAGTTCCGGCTCATTTTTGCTATTGCTACTGATGCGGAGGATTTAGTTGCTTCGGTCAGGGGGAAGCAAGGAGATTCAGTTGTTTGGAATGTTCGTTTAAGACGTCATGTTCAGGATTAGGGGCTCGACTACTTGGTGGATTTTCTAGGTTTCTTGTATGGTTTGCAGACTTGGGGGGAAGGGAGGGATTCTTTGGTTTAGAATGTTTGCAGGTCCAAAGGTGTTTTCTCCGTGTCCTTGTAACGCCCTCAAAAAAATACATATAAACCGAACAATCATGACATTCATAGACATAAGAAAATGAAGCATAATTCCATTTATCAGAGTATTTAGTGCAAAAAGTATTATATGTTGACAACAAAAGTAAATGCCCTACGAGTTTACAACTTTCCAAACCAACACTTGGTTACAACAAAAGAAGAGTCCTAACTCTTTTGTACAAAATAAGCCTTGGCTTTGATTTATATGTAACACCAAAATGATAAAAATAAACAAAAGAGTCTTCAACTCCCCGGACCTTCCAAGCTACATCCTTGCAGGTGGTATAACACCTGAACCTGAAAATGATGTCCCATATAGGGTGAGCTAACGCCCAGTAGAGATATGCTAAACATAATATGAGCAATAACTAAAACATCGGCATTTGATAAATGTTTAACTCTATAAACAAACATACATCTCTTTCCATTTTATTATCCAAACCAATTCATAGATATGGTTCCCTATTCAACCAAACAGTTCATAATGAGCCTACAACTCATATTAACAATACTTCAACTATTCAATTTCAAATGAGAGTACAACTCATATTAACAATACTTCAACGATTCAATTTCAAATGAGGCTACAACTCATATTAACAATACTTCAATTCATCTACGTTATGCAAACGCAATTAGGATTTTGGGACTTTCACCCTGGACACTCCGGCCAACTTAGTTATCACTGGAGTCCATTTCCTATTTCCTCCCAAATCCGGTTTAGGAGTCCATCCCCTATCTCTTCCCAAACCGTGGAGTACATCCCCTATCTCCTCCCAAACCGTGGAGTACATCCCCTAGCCAACGCCCAGTAGAGATATGCTAAACATAATATGAGCAATAACTAAAACATTGGCATTTGATAAATGTTTAACTCATATAAACAAACAAACATCTTTTTCCATTTCATTATCCGAACCAATTCATAGAAGTGGTTCCCTATTCAGCCAAACAGTTCATAATGAGCCTACAACTCATATAACAATACTTCAACGATTCAATTTCAAATGAGACTACAACTCATATTAACAATACTTCAGCGATTCAATTTCAAATGAGGCTACAACTCATATTAACAATACTTCAATTCATCTACGTTATGCAAACGCAATTAGGATTTCGGGACTTTCACCCTGGACACTCCGGCCAACTTAGTTATCACTAGAGTCCATTTCCTATTTCCTCCCAAATCCGGTTTAGGAGTCCATCCCCCATCTCTTCCCAAACCGTGGAGTACATCCCCTATCTCCTCCCAAACAATATACATATGCAATGTATTTAAACACTTATCATATACAATGATCAAGCCAAGCACATATTTAACGCGTTATCCTATCCGTCATATTCAATGACAAATTCAATTGATTAGTTTTAATTCACCTAATCATCATGCAGTGTCTACAACAATCAAGACTATCCTCCACCGATAGCCCAAAACAATTATTTCTAAACAGATAATAAATTATCAAACAGATAAATTATCTACAATTTCAAAGGTGAGTGATCAATCAATCCAACTCCACCATTAAACCTCATAATTACCCATTTTCATTATTTCTAACTTAATTTCATATTTTCATTTTCCCAAATTAATTATACAAATTAATTCATCACAATAAATTAGGGTTTTTCTCCACCTTTTCTCAATATTGACCTAAAGGTCCAAATATCATCAATAAACATCAATAACCTTATTTTAAGACGCATAATACCCATGTATTGGTCAAAAGAACAAAACCTCTGTTTAAACATTTTGAAACCGTAACATTCAAAATTACCCAACTTTAACATTAAATCAAAATGACCACAAGTTTATGTCAAAGACCATAAATATGAGTAGTTATCCTTACCTCAAGTGAAGAGACCCAAAGGAGATGATGAACCAACTCGAAAGTACTCTAAACCCCAAGATTTTTGGATCAAAATGGAGGTCTTGCAAAGCTCTACTACTTTAATGAAGGCACAAGGGTTGGGTCTCACTAAACCAAGATCAAAATGTAGAGAGAGAGAGAGAGTTCTAGAGAGAGGAGCTCTCAAATTAGGATTTTGAAAAGCTACAGAGAGAGAATGGTCCGCAAAGTGATTCAAAATGCTAAAATTCAGACTGATATACAACACAGTCCGCTCGAGCGTGGAATACCCCGCTCGAGCGTCAGACACAGACTCACGCTCGAGCGTGAAAAACGCCGCTCGAGCGTCGAATGCATACTTCCAGAAGTTCTGCAGACGAAGGTCCTCGCTCGAGCGTGAAAGTGGACACTCGAGTGTCCGATGACTTGCAGAGAAAAGTACTGAGGGTTGAATAATCTCGCTCGAGCGGAGGAACAAAAGCAAAGGGCCCGCTTGAGCGTCAAAAGCCTCGCTCGAGCGTGAAGGCCAAAATTTGGGCATCAACTCTTTGTTTCTAAACACAACCAACCTGTTTCAAACATGCCCAACACAACTCAAAACTCAAATACAAAGAGTAAATGACAGAAACGAGAATAAGACAACAACAACATCCTCGGAACCGAGTCCGGAATACAATAAATAACGAGGGACAAACTGGGATCGCTATAGTCCTCATTTTATGGGGTGCTTGTAGGGGGTGTTGGTGGTGTGTTCCCTTCGAAATCTATTTGGGCAACGGGTTCTCCTTCCAAGGTTGCGTTCTTTGTTTGGACAGCTGCTTTGGGTCGTATCCTTGCTATTGATAATTTGATTCGGCGTTGACATGTGTTGGTGAATTGGTGTTGTATGTGTTACAGGAACGCGGAATCGGTGGATCATTTGCTTCTTCATTGCTCGGTTGCGTTTAGATTGTGGAATTATATTGTTGCTTTTTTTGGCTTAGTGTGGGTGGAATCGGGATCTCTTTTGGGGGTGTTATAGAGTTGGGGTGGGGCTAGAGTGGGGAAGAGGCTCCGGAAGGCTTGGGTGCTTACTTCTCATTGTTTGCTTTGGTTGGTCTGGTTAGAACGTAATAGGCGAGTATTTCAGGATGTGTGTCATTCTGTCTCTTGGTTAGAGCGTAGGTTGCTGAAGGTGTTGCATAGTTGGGTTACGGGTACAGTTGATCCCAATGTTTTGGTCTTTGTAGATTTTGTGAAGGATTTGATTAGTTAGTTTCATTTCAGTCCCTTTTTGGGCTGCATCTTTGTATTCTTTGTATCGTTTTGATGCTTTTCAATAAATTTGATTATTTATCAAAAAATAAATAAATAAATAAAGGAGATGAGAGATCTTTTAAGTGTATTCCTCTGCCTTCTCCCTCAGTATATTTTGATATATAGAAAATTCTTCTTTTCTTAGTGATCATTCTAGGCTCAGTTGGTCTAATTATTCCAAGCTCTGGTTATCTATAGTAGCTGTATGTGCTTTCTTCTTCTCCCCTACCTCCTCACAATATACACACCCTCTTTTTCTAGGGGCTTTATGATATTTATACGCAATATTTTGGTGTCAAATTGTTTGTAGCGTCCATTCATGATCATTGAAATTTGTTTAAGGACAAAGTATGAGCTGAAGCTATTGTTTTTCTATTAAATTGTAATACAGACATATCTCCTTCAAAATTCCATCTGTTGCATAAAACACAAGTGCATCTGTATTCACATTGTTTGTCTACTTTATCAAGTGGTTATGCATTTTTCATTTTGCTAGTATTGACCATTTAATCATGCAGCAGGGGATATTGTGAGCCTCTTTGCAGGCGTTGACTATTTCTCTATGCAAGCTATGGTTAACTACAGGGTGAAGCAACTTACATATGCTTGTATTCAGGCTGTTTATAAAAATAGGTCCGTTACTGTGCATCTTCTGTTGAATGTTAGGTTGCCTTGAATTTGGCAGACATTTACTGATTCATAAATCATTTGTTTTGTAAGCTAGTTATGCGTATTTTTATTGAGAAATCTTTCAACTTTTTGATGCACTTTATCGTATGTAATGTTTGAGTCGTCTACGCTTAGGGAGAAGATTTGCATCCAACAATGACAGATATCTTCTAAATATATACCTGACTAGAAAAAAGCTTTAAATGGCTAGGACAAAAAAGAACTTGAACCCTAATTTGGATTTTTCCAAAGGGAGATGTTTGGTAATTGCTCATTAAAAATTGACACTTTGTAAGCTTATATAAGATTGGTTTTGAACTTTTGTTTAATTATGCATCTATTTCTCTGTTGAATAGTTATGTAATGAGTTGACTATTAACTATATATATTTTGCTTAATACATTAGTGTAGGTCTATGAAGCACGGACACGTCTCTGGAGGCAGCGTATGGGTGTCGGACACGGACACACGTCGGACACGCGGTAGACACATGTCCGACACTCGACCTAACGTGTCCTTGTTTTTTTTTTGAATTTTTGCAGGCGGACACTCTTTTAGACACGATTGACACGTCGTGGACACGTTGGAAACAGAAAGAAACCCTAACCAGGAGACAGAGAAAAACCCTAACCCATTGAAGATAGAGAGAGCGAAAGAGAGAGAGAAAGAGAAAGAGAGAGAGGAAGAACCTGTTGAAGCCTAGATCGAGGCCTCTTCGTCTCTAATTGAGGTATTTCTTTCGCGTCTCTGTTTGTCTCCTCTCTCTCTGTGTTCGTCTCTCATTGTCTTCATCTCCTCTCTCTCTGTTCTCGCCTCTCGCTCTCTGATCATTGCCATCGCCTCGTTGCTCTGTCTCTCCCATTTTTTTTGTTTGACTCTTCACTTTTTCTTCCCTCTTCCTTTATTACCGTGTCACTCCCTCCCTATTCTTTTTATTCTTTTTTCTTTTTTATACTTTTTTTTGTAAATAAATAATATAAATAAATACAAATAATATATTTATTTTTTAATTTTACATATAATAAATAAATAAAATAGTATATATTTTTTAATTTTACATATAATATATATAAAAAATTATATATATTAAACGTGTCCCTAGCGTGTCGTGTTCCCTATTTTTTAAAAATTTGCGTATTTACGTGTCCGTGTCGTGTCCTGTGTTCGTGTCCGTGCTACTTAGGTGTAGGTATTAGGTATATGTGGTGGTCGGTTGTGGACCTCTAGGAAGATATCAAACACTTCAATGGCTAAGGATCGCCGGAGGTGGTGGAGGAGAAGACCAAGGCAACCTTAGAGATAGAGAGAGGGTAACAGTGAGAGGCCTTAGATACCTGAGCTATGGAAGCTGTGTAATTTCTGTGTGTTATCTTCTTGGTATGTTCTTCTTATTAGGGTACCCCTCTTATAGGCCAACTGGGTGCATGGGTACCCCTCTTATAGGCCAAGAGTGTTGGAGCCCAAGTCACTTATGAACAGGTGGCTAGTCCTTGACTCAACAGAGCGGTATTAGGTCTATCTCCACATCTCATGATTTGGACCTTGGCAATGTTGTATCGTGGAAACTGCAGTGGTAGGTATGATCCCTTGGAGGGTGTATCATTGTATGACGCAGGTGTGAGTGTTAGGTCAATGTTCTCTCTCTCTCTCTCTGACTGGTCAAGGAGTTGTCATCTCCCTTGGGAGACAACCAAGTAACCTTGACGAATCCATGATCTTAGCCATTCCATAATATAATACTTCGATGATTCTGAGTAGTGGATGCCTAGGCCCTGCTCCCAACCTAGGCTGTCAAGTGATGGCTATGATGGCAATAAGTAGTAAGTGATCCTAACTAAGGGAGTGAGTGCATAGGAGAGACAAAGTGAGCCAAGGGCAGGGTTATGCTGTTGTTGAGTGGGAGTGACTCAGTTCTCCAACAATTTGCGAGAGTGATCCTTTGTAACTTGAACTTTCCCTTGTCTAGGTATTGTAATTTACGAGCAATGTCTCACTAATGAGGCCCTGCGCTTCACATTAGCACTTTTTTTTCTCAATCTAATGGTTTTTGGATTGGCATTTGGTGCTGAGCTTTGGTTGTAGCTTCCAATTTTTGTCATTTTCTTAAGTTATCTAAAGAAAATAGAAAAGAAAATTTTCATGTTTAGCCAGTTGATAGCCGTGGGACTATGGCTTCTAATTTCTCATTATGGATGATGGCAGTCATAAATTTGGGCAGTTGTGTGGCTCAATTTAAGTTGTGGATAAGCTGACTTTACTTCCTATGGACTTAGGTATAGCTCGGTCTAGTTCTTGGATTCTGTTGTTTACTGAAGCTTTTCCCCATAAAACTTGTAAGCATATTTCATTGTATGGTTTTTTGCTTTTATACATTTCAGTCATCACCTTTATATCAATTGTAGAAGTATGAGGTAGAATTTTACTTTTTATCTAATAATCAGCCTGTTGAATCTTGTCTGGTGTTCCTTTTGGCAGAAATCAGTTGAAGGATCAACTGTTTAGGACATCTGATGAATCCAGTACATCAACAATCCTCTTGTTGGAGGCAGTAGCTATGTTGATTGATCCCAGACTTCCCTGGTCTTGTAAGATAGCCGGCTATCTCTTTCAAAGAAATACGTATACCCTGTTGAGAGAGATTGTACTCACCGGGAAGGTACATTTTAAGCCTATATGACCCTCTTCTGTTTCTTCTTGAGTATGCATTCGTTGCAATAAATCTTACTCTTAGGTGTAGGATTTCTGCTGAAAAGTAATTGGGGCATGGCTTCATTAAGTTGTATTCCTTTGCACTGTCAAGAGGTTCTGTTGTATATATATCATATGTAATATTGCTATTGTCTTGATGACACAATCGTGCCACTCACTTGGAACTCTTAGTTTGGATCCTCTGTTCTTTCCAGCAAGTTTGTACCCTGGAATTTGGAGTCTGAAGATATGGTCCATTGAATACGCCAGCTGGTTTGCTGGTCGCATTTGCTGGAGGTCATATCCCAGATCCAAGTTCAAATTTTCCAAGGCGATTGTGTGATGTCCTACTCCTTCAACTACTAGTGAGTTGTCATAAAAAAGAAGGAAATTTTCCAGTGCATGAGGCTCCTGCCATTGTCGAGTCTGGGAAAGGTCAGGTATACATAACCTTACACCCGCATGGAAAAATTGTTTCCATGTTTCGAACCCATGACACTAAGGTCACAATGGAGCAATCTGTCTTGTTGATTAAATTATTGTTCATACTTTAGAAGGAAAAAGAAGGAGAATAAGCAAAATAGTAATACTTTAATGTGAAATCCTAAAAGTTTGATTTTGTTTACTGATCCTTAAGTTCTCTAGTGAAATTTGGCTGCTAGTCAACAAATCAGAAGGATTATTTGGTACACTCTCTTGAGCTCCTATCTGGTCTTGTGAATATACTAGTTGTGAATAGGATGATATTTTGTGTGATATTAAGATGGTGGCATGTAGTATGGAGTTTTGTATTATTAGAACATATGAGCCATCCCTAAATGGGGTAAAGCTCAAATCCCAGAATGCCTTTCTCCAACAAGAAGTTCCTAGCTTTATAAAAAAAGGAAAGAGTTCTTGAATAAAGTCTGGGCTCGTACTTTAAGGAAGAGGAGATGAAGTTTCAAAGAGGCAATGTCGTCTGATGGAGTTTCTAAGAGAGAAATGTGTGAGAGAGGGCGGTTGAGAGCACTGCAACCTCCATCCACAGAGAGAGAGAGGGAGAGATGTGTGTGTTGTCTATTATCCAAGGACTAGAAGAAGAGGAACCAAGTATTTCTCACAAAAATACCTGTGTGAGCAAAGTTGAAAGAGGAAGTATGTGTAGAAGCTGTGATAGATGATGTATTAGGCCAGGCCATTAGACGTAAGAGAGTTTGCATCTCATTCTGAGAAACAGTACCAACATCATCAAATGTGCCTACAGCAGTCTTATTCTTAGGCATTTGAGAATGGGAAAACTCAGTGCTACTCCAGCCACTATCATAGAAAATTAACTTAGATGAATTGGGGGAAAAAAATTTCTGGGATCAGCACTGACATTTGTTCACTCTTTTTCTTTTCCTTTTTTTGAAAATTTATGCTCAAAGCCTTCAAGAAGAATGTTGGCGACGAATCAATGCTTTCATACCAAATTAGATTTAATAGAAAGGAGGAGAAGAAGAGAGAAGAAATCGAGAGAAACTAAATGCGACAATGGGAAGAGAGAGAGAGAGTGAAATTAGGGTTTTCTCCCTCATCCCCTTGTTTTTATATTAAATAGGTTCAAAGTGCAAATATACCACTTTAATCTAACATAACATTATAGTTAATTGCTTATTTCTTTTATTTTTTATTGGGTGAATTACACATCCGTTTTGGCAACTATGAAGCAGCACCAACCATGCCACCAGTTCGTTATGATCAGAACGATAATGAAGTCATGGATTCTGATGATGAAAGTACCAGTGCTGTTCAACGGGAAGCTGAATCTCACACTTTGGCCGTAGGATGGGAGACCAACATACCATCAACTTCAACAACACGGGTGAAGTTTGATAATTTTCCTGATCATTTCCCTACCACTTCCGAAGACGAGGACGACAATGATGATGATGACGTTCCCCTGGGTTATGATCCTCAGTATGAGCCCTCTGCTAATGCTCTTACTGATTATCCAACTCCTCCTGTTTGGGATAACCCTTTTGCGCCAAATATTGAATCTCTCAATATTTTAACGGAAGGTGGTGAAGATGAAGATCCTCCGCAGCCGCAGCCGTAGCCGCAGAAATCAAAGTCTCAACCGCAGCCGCAGCCGCAGAAATCAAAGTCAAAGTTGCCACAACAGTCAGCAATTATTTCCGACACCTCTGATGCTGATGATGAATTATACTTTAAAGCACAAAGGCGACGAAGACAAATACATGCACGACAGAACTTTCCATGTCCATACAAACACTGTCGAGAAAAAGGCCTTATTGAATATGAAGGTATCACAACAGTACAATTTGTGAAGCTATGTCCAGAAGCAAAGAGGCCCTCAAGATCAACGGATGGAGCTGTTGGGTATGATCTTAGTTCAACTGCCAAGATACTTATACAGCCACAAGATCGTTGTCTTATTTCTACTGGAATAGCATTACAAATTCCATTTGGCATGTATGGAAGAATCGCACCTCGATCCGGACTAGCGTTGGAACACGGAATCCATGTAGGAGCAGGTGTTATTGATCCAGACTATCGAGGCGAAGTCAAAGTTTTACTCTTTAACTTTGATTTCAAATTGTTTGAAGTTCAACCTGGCCAACGAATTGCGCAGATAATTTTTGAAAAGGTCGCACTTCCCAGGATGGAAGAACAATCTGGTCTCTTGGACACTGTACGAAACACTAGTGGTTTTGGTCATTCAGGAATGGCTTCGGAGCCTAAGGATTCGGATTCTGATTCGAATTCCACCCTGAATATCATTGCCATGATGGAGGAAGAAGAAACGGAATATCCACAGGTGAAGAAATTGGAGCAGCTTATAAAGAAACATAGGAAGGATCCTCAATATGTCCTTTCTTCCACATCTGCTGTTTCAAACTATAATCCTCCACAGGATACGATGATGGGTCCTCCAGGTTATCCTCCAGCAACTGGCCAAGGAACAATCAACATTCCCCAGAGACCCACATATGAAGGAGGACAGTTCAGATTCCGGAACTTTCGACGGGATGATAAAAGTGAATGGTGGAATTTGCCATCAGCCATGCATTCAACTGGGGCTATGTTCATATTACCTCATCAATTAGGTAAATTTGATGAAGTATTTATGAGATGGGAATCTATCACCAAGGCACATGTGTCAATGCAAGGATTTACAGATGTAAGGGATAAGCTCCAGTACATCGAAAATATGCTTGGTGAGATGGAGAAATTAATTTGGACTCAATGGCGGATGAAGTATGATACTGAGTTCAACAATCTTATTACCATGGGAGAAGGTAATGAAGGAACACAAAATATTCTCTCTCAGATGCGAACTGTTTTTACACTAGAAGATCCATATCAAGGCTCAACATTGATGCAGGAAGAAGCCTACAGGGATCTAGAACGACTGTCTTGTCGGGATGTCAAAGATATAATCAAGTTTTTAAATGATTATTTACATCTTGCTACAAGATCAGGACGTCTGTTCGTAGGAGAAGAATTATCAGAAAAATTATGGTCAAAAATGCCTGGAGATCTTGGTGAAAGAATCAGGAAGGCATATCATGAAAGACATGCAGGAAATGCAATTGGCGTTGCACCCAGAATTCTGTTTTCCTATAAGTATCTGGAGACCGAATGTAAGAATGCTGCTTTCCAGAAATCCCTCAGAAATCTGGAATTTTGTAAGGAGATACCTATTCCAGGTTATTACAAGGAGCCAGAAAGAAAGTATGGCATACGGAAAGCAACAACGTACAAAGGCAAGCCACATTCTTCCCATGTCAGAATTGATAAAAGGAAATATTTGCAAAAATCAAAGCATTGCAAATGTTATCTTTGCGGTGAAGAAGGCCACTATGCTCGTGACTGTACCAAAGATAAGAAGAATGTCAAGAGAGTTGCAGTCTTTGAAAACCTCGGCATACCAGACGACTATGATGTCATCTCTGTTCAACCAGGAGATGAGGATTCTGATGCTATTTATTCAGTATCTGAAGGTATTGACGATACGGAGCAAATCGGTGGAGGCCTTATAGAGACAATTTACATGTTCCGAGAATCAGATCAGAAGTATTGGCTCGGACAGGAAGGAAGTTATCGTGCACAAGTAAAGGTCACTCCTGAAGTATATCATTGCCAACATGACTGGGATCAACAAAACCCACTGCCACACGATAGAAGGCCGGAGTGTACAACTTGTAAAAGAAATTTGGTCGGCCAATCCAGAGCGTTCTGTGGAAAATGTAATGCCTTGACATGTGCATTATGTTCCACCCATTATTTTGGCTTCACCAAATTTGTCATGCACAAGTCGCCAATCCCATATAACCAGAAGCCCTTACTCCAAGAACAACAGGAGTACATAAGGTGGTGCGAGGCAGAAATGAAGAGGTTACGGGAAGAGGCACTTCATTATAAGAATGAGCTAGAAGAGCTGAAACTTCAAATTCAGCTGGAAAAGGATGAAAAGGAGTTGCGAAAAACAGGCAAATTCAAGGCTGAAGAACTAGAAGCCCTAGAAGAAGAAGCAGAAGCCTCTGAACAACTCATGATGATGGAAACAATTGCAAGCGGAGAAGTCAAGGAGAAGAAGAAGAACATGTTGTACAATCTTTCTGTCGAACTGGAAATTCCAGGTGTACAAAAGAAGGTTGTCCTCAACGCTATCCTTGATACTGGAGCCACCACGTGTGTCGTGGATTCAGAATCCGTCCCATCAGAGGCATTAGAAGAAAACACCTACACTGTGCAGTTCAATGGGATTAATTCACAGTCCAAGGCAAATAAAAAGCTTCGAGGAGGAAAAATGTATATCGGAGACAACTGGTTCCGAATACCGTATACATATAGCTTTCCATTTCGTCTTGGTGGCAGAATACAAATGATTATTGGCTGTAACTTCATACGGTCAATGTATGGTGGTGTTCGGATCGAAGGTGACAATGTCACATTCTACAAAAATGTGATAACTATCCAGAC